TACTCCAGAGGACTGTTTCCGCTCACTCTAAACATCCCTTTTGCTATCAAAGTGGCACGTAAAAAAACAAAGATAAAAAGCATACAACGAAGAATGGAAGAATGGCCATAATGAGTCACACTAAAGGTCCACCCAGCCCGATATCCTGTCTCAATTAATGCCTGATAGGCCCTTGCAGCTTTAATTTAAATGGTTTTGTGGAGTTGGGAGATAGCCAAAGGCTTGCTCCTGACACCCTGTGGCAATCAACCTATTGCTTTTAAATTTCTCCAGAATTATAAAGCCTCTGGGTGCAGTACACTGTCCCATTTAAAGTGGAAAAATGAAATAACCATGGGGGATACCTTGAAAAATACAGCAAGACACGTTCTATTTCTCCACTAATACTCTTTCAGTCTGCAACCCTTTGCTTTTGCTGGATGCAACATCTGTGTAACTTGTTCAGTAACCCTGTATGGATTTCTCTTCCTTGAGCTTCTATGTAGTAAAAGGGGTTTGGTATAACTGAGAGGTGGGAAAGCAGTTTGATAACTTTTTTTTTCCTGGTGATGTCTGGTAAAACCACAAAAAAGTTGCAACAGATAATTTGGAAGAAGTTAGGGTCTAAAAAATTGTTATTTAAAAATTTACTGATTTTTATTTTTTTTTCCCGTAGCTTAGCATAGTGTCATAAAATCATAGAATTATCTTGATATCTCTTGAGTTGCAAGGGACCCATAGAGATCATTGAGTCGTGGCTACTGTTTGTAAATGCAGAGTAAATAAGGAGCAAGTGTGAATCACATATCCCCTTGTCTGTGCAGTGGTGGTACAGATTTACCATCCCTTAGCACTTCCCTGCTCAATCTGACCCAGGTGCTATAGCTCCAGCAGCTACAGATTGGCATGAGGACCATTGATTTCTGGTTGTAGCCAGCAGAGCTCCCAAGGGCAGAGGAAAAAGTAGTGAGCACTTCCATGGACCACCGTAGAGACAATATCTCTGTTTCTCTAAGAAACCCTGGAGATAGAAAGGTCATGATCAGCAGTGATGAATTTTGGCTTTTGGCAACATCAATGGCAAAGTCCTGGGCTGGTATTAATGGTGGTGTCTCCATGGTAGCAATAAGACACTTGGGCAAGCATTTTTCTGTTAGTATTTCAAGTACATTTCTGTTGCCTGTGCTGTAATTACTATGTCAATGAGACACAGAAGTTTGATCTGTGGAGTTGTTGGTTTGGCATCTCTTTTGACTGTTAAAAGTGCAGTGCTACATTATTATTTTCTTTCAGCTAAATTGAACACTGGACAATTCCTGGAATCCTTATTGGCTGGTTGCTTAAGTGTTGGGTTTATCCTTTTAATTTTGGTTTCTATTAATAGTCAGTTTTGGACTCCTGAATAGTTATTTGGCTTTATACTTAGAGTGAAGTTCTCAAGTTCAGTATCATAATTTTCAGGCAATGTTGTAAATGAAATCCAGAAGGACTCTCACAAATGGAAAAATCGATCTATTGAGGGAATACAATTTGATTCTGCAAATCGGACAAACGTTTGCCAATTATTTTACCGATTCTTTTAAGAAATATAACTTGGAGCATGATTTTCACTGAAAGAAACCTTGCTCTGATATGCTAGTTTCATTGCTTTAGTGTCTTTCAAGTTTAAAGATATACACTGAAGGCTGCTGTAGCATTCACTGGTGAAGAATGGAAATTCTTCACTGTGAGAAGTGAGACATAGATGATTCTTGCCCTGTAATTCCCTCCTGTGCTCCCCAGCACTGATGCATGATTGCTTGTGAAGGTGTTCCCAATATTATATCTCTTACCAGTGGAGCAAGAGTGAGTTTAGATATGCCCCTTATGTGAGGCCAGGGCTGTACAAACAGCAGTTCCCTCCTTTCAGGTAGGTGGGGCTGGGGCCAGGAGGAAATTGCAAATGTTTCTTCTTTCTTGTTTTACCTTTTTACTTTCAGGATTCCTGTTTCGTGGAGTTTTAAGACAACTTGATGAGAGCTGACCAACAGCGTCATGAGGAGTGTGCCATTAATTTTACCTGTTGTTTAAAATATAAATATGAATTAGGTGAATGCAGATGAGTGATAGAAGGAGAACACAGAACTGCAAAAATCAGAGGACAGCACATTTCTCCTGGGTGTATGAGTGGAGCACACTGCTGCATATACCCGTGAATTTTCCTTTCCTTACTTCTAGTTCCCCTGTAACACCCCTCATCTCCTATCTGCAGTGTGTTTGACATGACTTTTCCCCCTCTGTTCCTAAACTAGCTTCCCTGACATTCTCTGTACTGCAGGACAGTCAGTAAATGCTGATTTTTACATGTACTTCTCCCATGATGAAGTGTTAGTGTTTTTATGGAGCACCTCCTTCTTCACAGGCAGAAGTCTTCCTTCCAGCGCCTTGCTCTCCCCACCAAGCCACCTCCCAGCATCTTCCTCTTCCATGTAGCTTTTTTCATTCCTGC